CAGGCGGCCGAGGAGCCCCGCGTCCCGGGCTGGCCGGCTCGGGCGATGGCCCCGGGAAGGAGCTGACTCGGTGTCTTCCTGCCCCGCCCCGCTCCTGTCACCGCGGCCGCCTGTCTTTTCGGGTCGACCCCTGTCGCATCTGTGAGGTCGCCCTCATTTGACAGGCGGGGAAACTGAGGCCGGGGGGGAGGAGGGGCTCGCTCAAGGTCACGCAGCTCATCGGCGGCGGGGCTGGACCGAGACCAGGGCTTCCATCGGGTGGCCTTCCTTCCGAAAAGGAGGACTGGAGGGACGAGGATGGACAGGTGGATGGGCGGAGCCCTGGCTGTGGGGCAGGGAGGCTCCGGGCCCTGGATCTTAATCAGTCCCTGCTCCTCAGGTCTGCTACTGCTGCCACGGCCCCCCCTGCCGCCCCGGCTGGGGAGGGTGGCCCCCCTGCGCCCCCTCCAAACCTCACTAGTAACAGGAGACTGCAGCAGACCCAGGCCCAGGTGGATGAGGTGAGTGTGGGGGGAGTCAAAGGCAGCCGGAAGGACCCTGGGGATTGGCATATAGGTGTAGGGTCCATGTTGGTTTGGGAGTGATGACGCTTCACACCTGTGGGTTTGCGGACAAAGATACCATGCCCCATCCCTGTCTCCCTGTCAGCACGCACTTGAAAGGGCACTAGGGGTGTTAATCAGCTTTGCTAGCCTGGGGTGTGCCCGCTTGGGCAGGTGTGCTCTGATGATGGACAGAGCGCCCAGGGCTCCATAGAGAGAGCGTGTTGCTATGGCATCTGAAGTGTCGGCAGCATGCCCCTGATGTGTGCTCCTTGCATGTCTCCAGGTGTGCTAGGCATGTTCTGTGTGTGTCCTTGGCATGTTAACCTGGCAGCATCAGGGTGCATGTTCCATGCATGGCACGGTGGGCACATGTTTGAAGATTGCCCTCACTGAGGTGGGCCTTGGCACACCCCCCTGCCTCGTGGGCCCCTCTCCCAGGTGGTGGACATCATGAGGGTGAACGTGGACAAGGTCCTGGAGCGGGACCAGAAGCTATCTGAGCTGGACGACCGTGCGGACGCGCTCCAGGCGGGGGCCTCCCAGTTTGAAACAAGTGCAGCCAAGCTCAAGCGCAAGTACTGGTGGAAAAACCTCAAGGTAAGGGTGGGGACAGGTAGGGGACTGGTGGGTGAATGGAGTATCATGATTTGTCTCACTGATCCTCCCCTCTCACCCCCAGATGATGATCATCTTGGGAGTGATTTGCGCCATCATCCTCATTATCATCATAGGTGAGTAGGGTGGGAATGGCCGGGGCCCTTTTCCTGGAGAGGTTCCCCCAGTGGATTCTGGGTTTTAAAGGTCATTAACCTAGTTTTACTCTTCAGCCAAAACCACACATAGCTGCTAATGGCAATTCTGATTCGTCTAGAGTCAAAAACTTTTGATGTTATTTAGCTTGCAGTTTGCCTGGTTCTGGACAGTTTTTGTTAACATTTGGAAAAAGGAAGGCTGATGTATCCATTAAGGACCCTTTAGGCCTAAGAGCCCAGTCCAAGAACCCTGGAACTGATGAGTGGGAGAAAGGAAAGGCCCAGGGGCTTGAGACATGACCAGGAAGCCAACCACCCCGTGATTTGAAAGCTTGTGGTCTCAGAGGCTCAGAGGATTAGCATCTATGGCCTCACAGCCATACCGTGGAGTTGAAGGGACCTCAGAACCTACTCGTCTAGCCCCTTGCTTTGTAGATGAAGAAACTGAGGCCCAGAGAGGGGAAGGGGTGTCAACCAGCTGGGGAGTGGGGAGGATTGGAGCAGGGCCAGGCCTGACACATTGCTTTCTTTCTTTCTCTCTTTCTCTCTCTCCCTCCCCTCTCCCTCTTCCTTATCTTCTTCCTCTCTCTCCACAGTTTACTTCAGCACTTAAATCCCCGAGGAGTCTGCCCTGCCTAGAGAAGGGCCTCTCCCCCCACCCTCAGCCGTTCCTTCACCTCTCAGCCATATCTTTCAGTCCCCCTCCCCTGGATCCGTGTGTGTGTGTCTGTGTGTGTGTCCCCCTGTAAATAGCCAGCTGTTATTTATACATATATAATATTATATATATTTGGTCTGTTTGTAGTTTTATTACTAGAAGATTTTTCCGGTTGTCCTTAACACCCCTCCCTGAGGTTCCCTGCACCTCCTCTCTCTTGCCTTCCTTTCCTTTCCCTTTCTTCCTGACTAGCCCCAAGTCCCTTCATTTGCATCTGCTATGCAATAGTCCCTCTCCTCTCCTCCTTCCCTCGGATTTAGCTGATCCTTCCTCCCACCCTGGCCTTCCTTTCCTCCTCCCTCTCCCCTTCTTCCTGCTCCCTCTGCTCCGCCCTCAAAAAAAAAAAAAAACGAAAAGCACCTGTCCGGGCTTCCTTAGGTGCATCTTCTTTGCATCCATTAGGAGGCTCTGAGACTGGCCCCACTTGGTCCTAAGAATCCCAAGGTCTTTGGGAGCGTCCAGCATGTTAATTAGCGTATCATTGCATACTGCAGTCTCTTTCCATTTCTTTTTGTTCCATCACTCCTCTCTTAATCTGTGTTTCTTATTTTTACTGAGGAGTTAGTCCCCATTAGTACTTGTATTACCTTTTCATTTGCACGACATTACTTGCAGGTGGTGGGAGCCTGGGCTTTTGGGGAATCAGGCTGCTCTGGCCCCCAGCATTGCCTCCTTCTAGCCCTCTAGTCCAGTTTGCCTCCCTTACCCTCATTTTCCAAACCTCTTGTGCCCCCCTCTCCCTCCCCCAGCTGGTGTGTGAGTGTCTTGGAGTTCAGTATGTTATGATGGACCAATAATTCTGCCACTCGGGGTCTTTCCCCACATTCCTGCTCCCCAGTTTTCATGTGGGGCACTCAACTGACATTCCCATGGGGTTTCCCTCCCTCCCATCTGCCTGATCCACCTCCTCCTCCCAGCAGGAGAGTTGGGGGTTGGCCACAATTGATCTCTTGGGAGGGGTGGCTACCAGTGTGGGGGGGGGTCATCACTGCCTTGGGGAGGAGTGGGGCAGGGCAGAGAATCCCCCCAGTTCCTGCCTGAAATCTCTGGCTTCACCCCTGCTGGGGGTTGGACTGAAAACCCTCCTTCCCAATTTGGGGGGTGTTGCCCCCGTCACTGCCCAGCTCCTCTGACTGCCCCTGCCCTGAATTTAGGGTGGGGGTACTAGTCACTGCCAATGTGTGTATGGGACTTGCTGGAAAATGAGGATCCTTGCCCCTCTCCAGGGCTATTTGAACCCAGAGAGAGCTGTCCTCTCATTGGGTGAAGTGATAGAGGAAGGGTCTATTGTCTTTTTAAATGGCACAATTTTAAGGGTCTGAGGGTACAGTCCCTTAACCTGCCACGGGAGGGGGGCCCCCAAACACTCTTCCCCCCACACTCGAGATTTTTTGTGTGGAGGGGTTAGCAGGGATATCTAAGCTGTGGTGTGAAAGGGTAGGAGAGATGCTGGGGGCTGGGGGTGCTGTGTTCTAGACATATATCCCACGTTCGTCCCCTGCCCCCTCTTCCCCCACCCCATCATATGTGTAGCTGTGGCGCATCCAGATGTGAAAATGTACACATAAATGTGTAATGAGTAACCAAGGTGTTGTCTGTTCTAAGATCTTTATGCTTTCTCATCTCTTGTGTGGCGCGGGGAGAGTAAGAGCTTTTCTAACCAATGGGACGAATCAGGAGACTCCACGAACGCCGTATGCAGGACGGTGGAGAAGATGCAATTGTAAGCCTGGACTTAGGCCCTGACCTGGGCAGGGCAAAGTGTGATGCCCAAAGTGGCCACAGCGCACGAGGCGTTGTAATGGAAGTGTCACAGCCAATCCGGTGTACTCTAGCCCGGTGAGCCACGACGGTTGGGGTTCCCAGCTTCCTACTCCCTTTCCCGGCGCAGGTTTCTGATGTTGGCCTCCTTTATACTCTGGATGTAACATCCAGGATGCGCTGCGATAGTCGCTCCGTGCGAAGCGAGCTGAAGTAGTTAGCCACTTCTGTGAAGCATCTCTTCCCTCTGTGCCTAACCCAGTGCAGCGTCTACCAGCCGGGGTGGTAAATACTGGTTTAAGCTACATTGGCTCGCGAGAGACAAAGTGCTGTGTCGTGGAGCTGCCTGTAGACGACACACATTACACCCTCTACTCTGTTTATGACTGTGACTTTAGACCCAAATTGGACTTAGCATCCCTGTGCGGAGCTTCAACGGTGACGTGCCACGCGCGCGTGTGGCTCACGCCGTACACACACACCGACACTATATAGGTGAGCAGATTACGAGGTCAGGAGTCAAGACCAGCCTGCCCAGCATAGTGAAGCCTATCTCTTACTACAAAAATAACAAAAATTAGCCGGGAGCACAGCAGGAGGGCTGCGGCAGGTGAACTACCTGAACGCAGGGCGGGGTGGAGGAGATTTCAGGAGCGAGATCGCGACACCGCACTCAGCCTGGGTAACAGAGAAAGAATTAAAATAATAAAATTGTTCCAGGGCCATCCCCTGGAGATCATGATGCAGAGGTCTTAGGGGCCGGGTGATTCTAACGACACACATCATACCAGAACGTCCAACTTGATAGAAGTCTAATACATTCCAGGCAGTGTCACGGATTTCGCACTTGCAATCAAATCCCTCCAGATTTAAGAGTTCCCACAAAGACCCTAGGACCCGCGGTTACGGTGCGGGGAATGGGTTAAGTTTTCGCCCCGTACGACCAGCGGTTAGAGGCGAAACAGATTATGTAACATACCCGTAGATTCAGGTTCATTGTGAGGCAGGGGGAGTACACGGAGCGGCATCTCTAGAGACCATGAGAAGCGCCTGGCCCCGGTCCACAGGCAGAGAGGAGACAGTCAGGAAGAGGGCTCACCTTC